TTAGGGGGCTTCCCTGATTCAAATCTCAACCCAGATATGGGCTATTCTGACTGAAATTTACTGTGAATTTCCACAGTCCCTACAGGCAAATACCAGGATAATACCTTAAATTAGGCTATAACCACTTCCATATCCTTACCAGTTTATTAAAATCATCCTATCATTCAGTTCTATATAACATGGAATGATAGGATGATAGTCTGAACTATTAAAGCAACATTAAGCAAATCACAGATGAACACAAAAAAGTTATGAAATCAAAGATTAACATCAGTATAGTTTACCATTTGACAGTATGATGGTATACTTCAATTTGCATCGTTAGTCTATTTTATCACAGTTTATTATCAGCACCTGAACATTTTTATAGTAAAATTACTCATGATAAACACAAATAAGTTTTTTTAAAAAAAATATTGGTGTTTTCTTTTGTTTATATTCCTAAATATATTTGACTGTTGTATTTATAGTACATCATGATGGATTTTCAATTATTTGTACTTCACTATAGTATCTTACAGTACCTGTTTCTGTGGGTTTATTACCAGCATATTAACAGAATTTTCATCATCCCTGATTTCAGAAAGACAGTTAGATGCTAGGTGTTAACACCAGAATAATGCATCATTTCACTTAATGGCATTCTTTTTTCTAGAAGGATACTGACATCCTGTTGGTGTTATGATGAAACATACAAGATCAAGAAGCAAAACAAAGTAATTAGTGTAATTTGGCCATTGGTGTGTTTCTATCTTATTATGTACTGGTACTGTAATTAAAGGTACTGCATTCAGAATGAAAGATAAATTTTTAATTTCTTGAAATGAAATACTTTTACAAATGTCCTGTATGTGTACTCAGTGAAAGGAAATCTGTCTATGAAGAAAACTGTATGTGCAATAGATGGGAAAAGAACAAACCCTTATTACACTAAATGGTGACAAACATAAAATATTTTATTCATGCAATAACTGAGAAATAGTCAAGATCACAGCTTAAAATAGAGCAAGTATCCATACAGCTAGATTAAGTACACTCATATTGTTTAAATTATATTGTAAGGAAGTTTCTATGTACAAATTATACAACATTTTACTATTGGCTAGATTTTTCTTTGTTGCATGAAAAATTTATGTATTGAGAGGTTACTAATATAAGTGTTCAACCCTGTTCTGAGCCAATTTTTAATAAATTACTGATACTTATTTTTCTATCATGGACTCAGTAATATTTGCTATGTTATGTGATTATTAAAGGTGTAACAAACCAACGTGTTATATAAAGTATTTTTCTTATTTTCAGTTTCATTTGAGGTATGGTTTAGTTGGTTTGTGTGGTTGTATGTATGTGTGTGTGTGTGTGTGTGTGTGTGTGAGTGTGTGGTGATGGTTTGAAGTAAAAGCATCTTTAAATTGCAAAAGCTGACCAATTGAATAATTAGTGATGTATGGAGATAGTATAGGGTACAGCTAGTTAGGAATTTGTAAATCAGCTACATTTGAATGAATTCCAGAGCTTCCAGCAGTTATTTTCGCTAATGTTTTTGTAATTACTGCTTCAGATATTAGAAGAACTGCTAAAGAAGTTGGAAGTTGAACACGTTGTTTGGTGCAATGATAAGAATGGCTTTTATTACCAGGTGAGTTAATCAGCAATGCACAGAAGCAAAGGTAAAACAGTGCACATGGCACTGTGATTAAAGTTATGTTATTACACTAAATCCATATACACATATGTACATATACATAATATACTTTACTCATTGTGTATTATGTGAGAGATACACAGACTATTAGGAAAATAAGATTTGGGTTCTCCAATTCACTGTGATATATTGTACAGATTCCAGACTACGAAAATATTGAAAATCAAGGGTTTATTTATTTATAATTATTTTAATTAATTTTATATCCATCATAATCATTAGTCCCTTTTTTATTATTTATATATCATATGTGTGAATGTGTTTCCTGTCTCCATTGTTAATATGTTACTGTCAATGGCTGCTTGGAGCTGTAACGTAAAGCAATGAGAAGGGCTGATTTCCATTTATAGTAGCAGTAAACACTTTCAGATTTAAAAATGTCAGTAGTTTGTACTGAAGTGATATGTACATCTTCAGAATTAAATAATTTTCATTTTCTAATTTATAGATTTTTTTAGACTGTTATAAGGTATTGCTAAAAATGTGTACTATGTACATTTGTTCAACATGAAATGCATATCTACCCAGAATACATCAACTTGGGTGCATAGCATTGAGGTTGTATTAAAAAATTTTAACACAAAGTACCATGACTTTGTACTACTAATTATGACTCTTGGCATAATATGTATATTTTATTCGTAGGTGTTTTTCCCAGTTGGAGCTGGAGATCCATGTGAAAACTGTCTTCACTGCTTGACAGAAATGGGAATTGGAATAAAATACAATTCAGTAGTAAGGTAACATATATAATTATTCATCATGTGTGTCCACTTCATTGCTGTATGGGTTGTTATACCTAATAATGATAATTCTGATGTCTGGTGTTATTTGCATTATTATCAATTTTAACATAATAGGACCTTAATAAGATGTTCACTACAATTGAAATACTTGAAAGAAATTAAAAATAAAATAAAGAAACGGTATTTATAATCCTTAATGTATTCTTTGATTTGCAGTGTTGTACCCTGCACAGTGTTCTATAAGGGCATGGAAGAGGTGAATGATGAAGATGAGTAAGTTCACATATTTTGCAGTGTAACTCTTAAAATTATTATGTTGTTCTGGGCCGTGTCACAGTGTAGACCTATAGGTAGATACCAACATTTCAGAGAAATATACTGTCTCCATCTTCATCTTTTATAAATGCGTTGAAAACTGGGACTACATCCACACTCAGTTGTGAAATGAACACCTCATAATGAGGATTATATAAATGTGTTTCTAATTCTGTCAAGCATGACAAGCTGATTAGGTAATAAATTCAATTCTTTGGTTTGGAGTTCTTTAACTTCAAACTACACTACATCCTTGTTTTAAAGACGTAATGCGTTTTTGAAAATCATCCAGTAACTGAAGAATTGTGAAACAAATATTAGTTTACTATTTTTTTAAAAAATAAAAACATTAGTTAGAAAGTAATCAGAAATAATACATGTAAAAAAGAGGTAGTGTACCATTCATGATGGAATCAACATTGTAACATGAGAAGTGGTCAAGTGTAAAATTACAAATTTTTCAAGAATATTAATTAGAAAGAAATGATAATATACACAAAAACAGACAAATATTCATTCAAAATTTATAACTGAAATGCATTTGTTCCAATATTACAAACAGGTGGTTACAACAATGGAAGCTCTGTAATATGTGTATCCTTACATGAGACTCCACAGCAGTGCCAGTTGACCACGGCAAATAAATTGTGGCACTCTATATTGAACGGTAAAAGTATTTATAAAATAAGTTGTTGTTTATTTCAAGAAACAGACTGTGTAGGATCAGATGACAAAAGAGGTCTATTTATTTTCTTATATTTTTTTACAGGGATTCTTCAGAGAAGAAGGCTTGGAACAACTTTGTGCAGTCGGTCCGGGCAAAACTGACAGTGAAATCAGTAGTCGATGGTGTGAGAAGCTCAGGAGAGTGTTCATTTGATTTCCTCTTGCTTGTTCTAACAGCTGAGTATGTGAAAATAATTTTAATTTTATAATATGGCTATAACTAGTATAATATTCAGTTTATTTTGCATTTAGATGAGTGTAGTATACCAGTAACTCCCCCAGCTTGTTGGTCAGTGCCAGTTTGTAATTTTCTTAATATGATTTGAGGTTTTCATGGCAGTGAGTCTGTCTACATACTCTCTTGCAGTATGATTGCAGCTGTGGGATTGGTGGAGAGTAACTCTGTGAACATAGTTGCTGCTATGCTGGTTTCACCACTCATGGTAAGAGGTCCTGAGGGATCCATACAATTTCACATAATAGTTACAGTTTCTTATTGAACTAGAAATTGTTCCTGAATTTAAATTAGACTATCAAAAAGGTATGGGAACCACATGTGTTGAGACATGATTTTATCCATTCTAATCAACATTGAGGTAAGGTCATGACTACTTTTTAAATAACCAAGCCTTTATGTTTCAAGTTGTCATTGACAGATGGTATGAGATCAACATTCTCTAAACTATCAGTCAACTACTTTTGTAAATCATGTATTTATAAATGGTTTCAGTTTTGCCATACATATCATTAATCAACCACATCAACAAACCCTGCAAGAAAATAGTGTTACTGCTGATTTAAATAGTCAGCAAAAGCATAAGATGAAGTATTTTAAGTGCCAACACAAAATGTCATTTCATTCCTTGCTTTGTCATTATAATGACTAAATGGTCAAATAGTAATATGCAATCATGTACACATGTTGTTTAAATATTTCAGAGTCCAATTATGACTGCTACATTTGGAACTGCAATTGCAGACAGGAAATTACAAAAGATTGGTTTTCGAAGTGAAATTATAGGTCTTTTGATGTCACTTGTATTTGGATTTATATTTGGCCTAGTACTTGGAACAACAGATGATCCATGGGGAACAGGAGACTGGCCTACAGAAGAGATGAAGGCCAGGTGAGTTCTCTGCTCATAATCCAATTATAATGACAATGGTTAATAGTGACAGTTATTTTCTAAAGTACTAATGACAAAGATGTGACTGCACATATGATCATAACCATAATTATACTTTCTGTATAAAGTAAAGAAAGCTAGAAGTTGGAGTGTTTGATAGCATATACTATGGGTGGCCTCCCTTCTTCCTTGTAATAACAGTTTACTTCAGCTGTGTGAAAACATATGATTTAAGGAGGTTAGCACAGTTTTACATGTCTTGACTTGAACTTGGAAAATGCTTGTTTCATATCCTGGTGGGACTGACTGGGAGTTTTATAGTTGCCCTTAGTCCTTCCAGGAAAATGCTAGGATAGTACCGTAAATGTGTCATGGCATGTTGTTACCACATTTTTTTATTCATAAGTTACCATATCATTTTCTTGCTATCTGAATCCCAAGTCATATAGTATGTTACTTTCAGAGGGATGGCACGATCATTGTGGATTGGTGTTTTATGGGCCCTCCCATCAGGAACTGGAGTTGCATTAGCTTTGCTTCAAGGTAGTGCAGGCCCTCTGATTGGTGTTGCCATATCTGCTTCATTGCTGCCACCTGCTGTCAATTGTGTGAGTACTGTCTCTCACGGTTCTCTGAATAATTTTTTAAATTTCTCCAAACTTGGTAGAATTTGATTTTCTCATGGCAGCAAGTATTAAGATGGCTGTCTTCTGGTTTGTAGCACTGGGTAGTCTGGTGGAAGTTTACCGACGATTCAGAGGTACTTGCTGCCTCCATTATCGGTGCTAATTGTCATTATGATATTATATGCCTAAAGAATCTTTCATAGGCTTAGTAAGTCAACAATGAATGCCAGATTGGTTTAAAGTACAAAGAAAACATTAGTATCAGTTATTTACTAAAAAGGTTAAACATTTAACTTTTTATTCTTGCCTGTGTATTCTCATGCTGTGAGAAATCTGCTGGCATGAAATTCTTCAGAATTGATAATTAAGTCATCAGTTCCTTGGCCCTTTGTTCTATTAATGTGTTTTACTTCCAGGGAATAATGTGGGGTTTGGCATGCATAGTCTTAATCTATGATGATGTCAGAATCCCTTATCTTAAAGGAGAGAATTATAGTGGTCCAACAGAAGCCAAGCTTACGTACACAACAATGGATAAATATCCTTCAGAGTTGGCAATTATGGGAATAATCAGCTTCTGTCTCACATTAGTGAACATTGCGTGCATTTTTACAACAGCAATAGTTGTGCTTAAGGTAAGTCACAAAATATGTCTATACAAACGTATATAAAATTGGATTTTTATTTTCAATGTAACAGATGTCTAGATGGTGATGGTAGTTTGGTGCAAAATGTTTCATATGGACTGTGGATCATGACTCAAATTTATTATGAGATGCAACACAAAAAATCAATTTAAATTCACTGCATCTGGATAGTATAAAGTAAGTTCATTTAAATCCCTTATGTACACTACATTTTAATTTCTTAAGCATGGCAAGGAATATTTGATCACACTAGTTTAAGTACTGTAATATAAGAGATCAGTTCCTCTTATATTCAGCATTATAGTGTTTCAGGTATTCTGAGGAGCTTCTTTGAGGCTCTGCTGAATATTTAAGAAATTTTGTTTCAAGAAACATATTCATGTGAGTATTAGTACAAATTTATTATGACTGTATATATCATTTTGTGGTTTTAGGTTTTTCACAGTACATGACCTTACTGTGAAACAACCACACTTGATTCAAAACAGTCTCCTGGAAATTTATAGTGATTTTAACAAGTATTTCTCATTAATCTTGATTAATTGGCCATTGTTGAATCTGGTGAGACATCAACTTATTTCAGAGGTTTGGTTAAATTTTATATTTTGATGATTTCTATAGGCAGTGCCAGCATATTTCTTTACACTTCAGACATTTCAAATAACTCTAAATTTGGTCAAATATCAGTATTTGAACAATCAGTCTTATTGTCAGCAACCAAAATATCATTATCATGTATTTTGTCATCAATATCATGGCCACTTTGAATAACTTTTAGAACTGACCAGGTAAAGGGCTTTTTCTCATGTCCAATTTGAGGTTCACACAGCAGCAATTATAAAGATGGCTTTATTCTAGGTTGTCATGCTATATAATCTGGTTTCAGAGGTGCTTGCTGCCTCTGAAGTATCAGTAAACTTGTGTCAGGCTACATGGCACTATAAGCCAGAGGACAGCCATATTAGACATTTTTTCATGTCTCACTTTGCTCTCGGTTATTACTAAAATTGTAACCAGTTTCCTCCATTCCTTCCTTTAGAGTAGTCAGCCAACTGTGGGTTTTCAGGATGGAAATATCAGTAAATATTACAAAATGAATGTCTGTGCAAAACAGTGTAATTTTAGTGACTGTTCCATGATGAATGTACAAGAACCATGAGAATTATCAGTACTGGTACACATTGTACTAACAGTTGCTGGTTTCTCTCATTCGTTTGAGTTTGACTTGTAAATATTTCTGTCATTGCAGATTAAAGAAGTGGCTGCCCCGTATACTTCAAGTCCTGACCTAAGGCGTTTTTGGGAGCATGATATTCGTGTTGTTCGAGATGCCAACAGAGCCACAATGAACCAAGCAAATGACAAGGGCAATGCCAGTGATGTTGAGTATGTATCTCGCCAATATCAATCTGAATTCCACATAAATGGATCAAATTTTACCCAGAATTTTAATCACAGCATGTCAAGAAATTGACTTGACCTACTTCATATTAGATAGTCTTCTCCAGGCACATTTCCACTACATGTACTCTCTTGTCTCATCCCTGCAACAAGAACTTTTAGAATAGCTTTTCAGATGGAGGAGTTGAGAAACAAAATTCTGCAAGTCCACATGATGTCGCAACCAAAAAGATCAGCATCAAAATGATTATTTCAAATTTTATCTTAGTATCAGTCCCTGCATGTCTCAGCTTGTGGCTAGATGGTACCATTTTGGTACTCACATTGACAGACATGAAGAGTGAGATCCATGCTGTCATTATCAAAAACCCAGATCTTCACTGGTAATACCAGATATTACATGCAAGTGATTAGAATTTCTGCTTTATCTTTGAGAGGTCCAAATTTGAATCTTTGACTATATATTATTCATTCCAAGTGAGGTTTCTGAGATATTAGGGTAGTTATCTACCACTTATATATCCTTTCCAATTCAACATTCAGTACTACATTAGCTAAGCAGTTGAAAATATGTTCTGAATAACACAGCTACTCAACTGTCAGTGACAAGTAGAATCATACAGAATTCTGTATTTTTTGTTGAAAGATGCCAAAATACAGAAAGTCTGCTGATGGTTGTGTATCATAGGAAAACTAACAAAAAAGTTAAAGACAGGAGCACCCTGTGTGTAGTGACATTATGGTCAGTGCCAAGTCACAATATTTCACATGTATAAGTGAGTGTTTAATATTTTGCATTTACTATATCATGTGAAAATGTAATATAATGTTTTATTTCTCTCTATTTCTTGAATTTGGAAAAAAATTATCAAACTCCTTACAATCCTCTACCTTCATTTTCTTTGCTTTTCAGACAGGCAATTAATGAGCTGAGCACGGTCCCTCCTGATGAACTGGAATACACACTGGAAGCTGCGGTGAGGGAAGCCATTGATGACAGCACATTCCGCAAGGTGAACCGATGCAGTTATTCTGCCAACACAGCAGATGTAAGTAATAACAAAGCCATAAATGAATTATACAAAAGAAATTTGTGTCTTAGATATAAATTTTAAAGGTGGAAGAAATATATATACATTTATAAAGGGAAGGAATTTTCTTTTGGTGAAGTATAAGTGCTAATAAATGAATGAATATTGGCCAGCACAGAATATACTGACATAATGTTTCTGTAAATAACTCCATGGAGTATAATTCTTTTAAAAAAGACAGGAATCTCTCATTTAGTCAAAAAATTATTCACCTTTCTTTCGGGACCTAAAAGCTTATTACAGTGTTTATGAAAGAGAGTTTATTTCTCTAATCTTATTTCTTTAAGATCCATGTCAATATTATCCTCCATGTCCATGTATCTCAAGTTTTCTCTCAGGTTTTCCAACAAATATTTTGTATCCATTTCTCAACTCTTCCCTGCATGCTACAGCCCCTGCCCATTTCATCTGCCCAACTTGATCACCCAAGTAATATTTGGCGAAGAGTGCAAATTTTTAAGATCCTCATTATGTAATTCTTCCAACTTCATATTAACTTTTTGTCTCATCTCAAATATCCTCATCTATGTTATAAAATATTACTAATAATGATGTAACTGACTGTACTTTCAGATGAGTCATGTGTTAGGGCTTGGAGGTAGTCACAGTAACAGAGCAAGCAGTATTAACACTGGTACATCACCTCTCCAAGACCGCGAGATGCTAGATCAGGTTATTCATGCACTTCTGGATTACCAATCACAGCAAAACCCAGCAACACAAGAAACGACCCTAAACAGGTTCCGCCAGCTGTCTCGATCTCTACGTCAAAGTTCAAGACGCTCCAGTGGGCGACTTAGCACCCGAAGTTCCTTCCAACGGACCCCACGCAGTGTTCATAGTCAACATGAAAACCAAGGTGAATAAACAATTATAGCTGGTGATTTTCAAAATAATTTTTGCAGCCGCTCACTGAGTATGCTTGCTCAGTGGTAATGCCTCTGACTTGGTACAGCCAAGGTATTAGGTACCCCAACTGAGGTTAGTCATGATTTTTATGAGTATCTCTGAAAGAATGATGCCATAAAATATACTGCAGTCACTTCCAGATTCCTTATTATTCATGGTCAGTGAAAAATACCTCTGTAGTTCATGCAGCATCATTAAGTAACCTGAAACTGCTTATTCTGTCTCAGTCAGAATCAGTATGTGTTCCTACATTTGCTATAGATTATATCTTATTGTTTGAGTAAACATTAAGCATAATAGATTTCATAATTATTCTAACTTTCAGGAGGATTGCAATCAGACACTGCTGGTCTGCCTACAATCTTGGAAAGCAGCAACACTCTGCAGAAAAACTCAGGAAGCACAAGACCCCAATCTCTCTCGGAGAGAGCCCTCAATGCCCCTGTAGTGAGAAACATCATGCAGTCCCTGTCCAATTCACAGCATAGGTTTGTTGGGTCTCCTACATCACCTTCAGATCGCCGGAGAGAAGATCAGTTTGAGAGAATTAGTCTCACAATGAATCCAGAATAGAAGTCTGAGGAGCTGTATTATCAACTTTATAAATTGTGACACATCAGAACAGTACAAATGTTAAAATAATATTCTCCTTAATAAAGTAATGCAATTATGGGGAAAGCTCTGGATTTCATTATATGTTGGTAAGTAAACTGCAGAGTGTCAGAATTAAAAGAAATTTATAAAATCCTTGCTGTCAAAATACTGGTAAAGAGTCAGGTTAGCTCGGTAAGAAAAATGACCAATTAAGGGTTAGATTTGTCAGGATTTAATTCCTTACAGAGATAGGAATTGTTATTATTTGCTACTATGTTCTATCCGATTTTGGCAGCCACCTGACATCCATTTGGCACAGGGGAAAAAGTGGTTGAAATTAGAAGCTGACTACTCTAGTCCATTTAATTTTTGGCTAGCATTTCACCCAGAACATAGAACCCACCCTAAACTCCAATTCATTGGTTTCCAGGAGTTGCATTTCTTTTATTATTTAGTTCTTAATTTACCTGTTTTATTTCTACTGTGATAGGCAAGAGGTCAGAAGAATAGTGAAAACTGTGCATTAAATTGTGGGAAAATAACTCAGGAATTTTGGGAAAGTTTATATATTGATAGTGTAACTGACTGGAAAAATGGAAAAGCTGCAGTGTATCAGATACATGTAAGTTCTACAAATCCAGTGATTTTAGCACTTCTTAGAGTCATTATAATAATAGTAGTGTGTTTTTATTTATCTTCATACTCTCTTTTATAAACAGAGATTGCAGGTCCATATTTTAAATATATTGGAATTCTTTAGTGACACTATATCCACTCCTTTGAGAAGGAGACTATTTTACAGATTAAACACAATAATAACTGTAATCTGGAACTAGATTTTAATTAAATCAGAGATTCAAAATTGCTGTTAATAAATTGAGTTTATTAATGAAAGGATGTTATATATACCATATATTAACAATTGTTGCAATTCCTAATTAATAGAATTGTTCGATAGATGAAAATGCATATCTGGATATCCAGAACATTAATTATAAACACTAACACACTTTAAAACAAAATGTAATGTCATCCTTATTTCAATATATCTATCCTGCCATAATCTTCATTTTTGATGTCATCTTCAAGCCATCACAACCTAAAAGAAATCATCATCATCATTGCTCAAATGTCACATTTTTTATAAATCTGGTAACATTTGATTTGAGCATAGAAAATGTCTCACACTATGGTGCAGGAAATTGTTTGAAAAGTTGATTGTATACTCAGCTTGTCAAAGAATAGCCCACTTTCTTTATGGAACCTGAAGGTTTATCGCTGTGTTTACAATGTCTGTGACTGTTATAAAAATATCTTTTCACTCTCAATCTTTCCCCTTCAAGCACTCATGGTGGTGTCAAATGATATCATAGCTTTGTCAGTTTACAATAAATATTCTTATAGATTGATTATTTATGAATTAAAGTTATAATAATTGAACAATTTAGTTTATCCTTCATTATTCTAATACAATAGTAGTAATAAAAACAATTGTATTTCTTTTGTCTTATTCATCACCGCTCCCAATTCTCCTTATTTTCTTCACAATTTAGGCAACTTAATGCCCCAAAGTACTGTTTCAAGTATTTTCTTGGTCACAGATACCTCTGGAATGTTAGTAAACTTCTACCAGACTACACAGCACAAGAAAATGAAGCTAAGGTACGCGTGACATGATACTGTTAACTAAAACAATAAAGTAATTCATAATAAAATACCTAGTTATAGCATTATGTATGCATAATGGGACAGTTTTGCTTTTGCTTTTTTATGCATCCCAGTGTGTTTGAATTTCCCACTGGCGTAAGAATACAGGAAAGATGTTGGAAAAAGAACATTTTCATGATGGCATCATAAAACGTCACTAACTGGATAACGTTACCTACTTGAGTTAAATATACCACAGATAACAACGTTCGAATATACGTAGTGGAAGGGCAGTTCCTGATCACTGACTATTTT